ATATCTGATATGAGATTTCCAGGTGAATTTGTCATCAACTATGACACCTAGAAATGTAATTTCATATACTTGTTCTATATTAGCTCCCCCAATTTTCAATTGAAGTTCATTGTCTAGTCTGCGATTCCCAAATACCATAAATTTAGTTTTATCCAAATTCAGAGATAGTATATTACTGTCACACCATTTCTTTATCTTCTCAAGTTCCTGTGAAACCCGTCCAGAGAGTTGCTGTAGGTTTTCACCCGATGCCCATATGGTAGTGTCATCAGCAAACAAAACCACTTTCACTAAATCAGAAACCTTGCATATATCGTTAATGTATAATATGAATAATTTGTAGTAATATGAATAACTTATAAATATAGAGATGCTCACGCAGTTTAGCTGGAGCTTTTCAGATAGAGATGTAGTGACCCACTAATACTTGTCTGCACCAGTGTTGGACACTTGCCAACTTTCTCAGATGCGATTTCACCCAGTAATAACATGCATTTAATGCAAATATCATTGGAAATAGAACCACGGGAGCATTGTATCAGGGGGCCTGAGGTAAATCTGTTTTTTATTTGAGCCTCCATCTTCCTTTTACATGTGCTGCAGACTCAGCCCCTGGTTCTCTGTTAGTTTGTGGCATCTGATTTCCCTAGCACCCAAAAATCCCCCTCCTCCTCGGAGTCCTGCCTCAGTGAGATGAAACATGTTGCCCTGGTTTAGTGTGACGTCCACTTTCTGAGGATCTCATCATCCCCAATGTCCCTCTGGAACAAACCTCCATAGGTCCAGTGAGAAACCAGAGAAGAGGCTTCAGAGCCTGCCTGAGAATGATACACTGTTTAAGTTCCCTTCAGCTTCACAGGGATTCGGTGACAGCTGTGTGGAAGTCCATGGGGACACTGCTCGTTCTGCTGCTGGCGATGGGGACAGTGACCACATTTGATACAGGCTAAAAGTCAGAGGTGAAGTTGTAGCTCAGAGTTAACTCACCAAGTCTCTGGTTAAGGAAAATGTAGCACAACCTTTAAAGCATGATCGTCCCCCGAACGGGGAGGAGGAGGAGGAGAACTGCCGGAGAAACGAAGCCCACAAAGATTAATGTTCAGTTCACAAACAAATGTTCAAGTTATCAGTTTAGTCTGGCTTTAGATGGGACTAAACTCAAGTTTAAATTAATTGTGTTGCTCCCAGGCGAGGTGTAAAACCTGTGTGACAGAAGTCTGGAACAAGCCAGCTTATCTGACTCCAGTTCCCATCAGCTTTCACTGTGCTCAGATATAAACCAGTAATGTTTACAGCTTTGCTGTTATTTTAAAGTGCACACAGATGTGTGACAGATATAACACTGGCAATGACATAAGTGGCTTTGTGCACATGCAGTGAATAGTCTCTGTTCCCAGTTTAGCAGGTTTAAGGAAGTCCTCTAAGATTTATAGGAAGTCCTTACATACACCCACGCACCTGGAAGATGGACCAACCCTGTGCAGCCCAGCAGCGTCGACCGTACAGCTCAACATGTGCTCAGCAAATTTCAGTGTTAGCTCAACATGTGCTCAGCAAATTTCAGGGTTTCAAATTGAACTGTAAATAAGGGAAGTCTGGGAGGACATCGTGACTGAGCCGTCCACTAGTCTCATGTAAGCAGAAGTCCAGAGCAGGAACCTGGCATGTTTGGGGAAGTGTTTTGTTTGCTGTTTGACAGAAGAGCCTGAGTCAGAGGCTCTTCTGTCTGTCAGACCCAAATGGGTCAGATGTCCATACCAGAGTAGCACAATGGAAACTAGAACCAAAAGTTAAAGCAAACAGAGGAAGAGAAAGGCCCCAGCTAAAACCACATCCTTCAAGTTTATCATTTCATTTTTTGTTCAGTGGTGCAGGTTTCCACATTGGCCATCTGGACCAGCTCGGTGTACCTAATAAACTGAGCTCTGACAGTCCTGTACTTAAACATAAATGTGTGGAATGGAAACGACGTATGGGTTCCTTTAGTTTTAACACTGTTGATTCAGATGCTAACTCAGCGTTAGCCTGTTGCTGAGTGCAGCAGCAGTGTTAATGCTAACAGCACCGACACCCGGGCTCCATTGTCGTTTCCATAAAGTGAAGCAGTGTTTGTTCGTGGGGTTTTTCCTTGTCTTTTCATGTTGAAGTTGTTTTTGTCATTTGCTGCTGCTGCACTGCATGGGCAATGAGGGCTGCCCCCACCACCACCACACACACACAGATCTCACTCATAGTCCTTGATTGTTGCAGAAGAAACCACACATCACATATGAACTGGGTCACTCTGTGTTTCAGGCTGAACTGGCCTCCTTTTCTGCAAACATCTCTCGGCGCTCAGGCACCAGAGAACGACCTCGATCAACCACAACTGGGACATTCTTATGCCAAGGCGTGTTTTACCAGCAGAACAAACTCTGAACCTCCATCAGACACTGACATTTTACTGGTTTCATCTCATTTAAATGTCTGCTGGCAATTAGTTTCATGGTTTTTACATCAGAGTCAATGAAAGTGAAAAACAGTCATTTCTGTCCTGAACCAGCTCTGGGGGCTGTGAAGTAACCCCCTGATGTTTCTGTTACCGTCTCAGACCTTTTACATGGAACTGTGTGCAGCAGAAGAATTCAGAGATTCTGGATTTAGTCAACAACCAGCAGAGCAACATCTCTGTAGGTCCAACGTCACCGCTCAGACTCATGGTACTGACACTGGTGACTGCCACAGGATCAATCACATGATCCATCAACCAAATGGAGACGCCGACTGAAGACGCGCACTTTTAAAACGAGACTTCGTTTATTCAGTGGCAATTTACAGACGATTTGGCCCAAGTTATAAAGTATATTGACACACCAGCTGTGGATGGAAACATGTATTAGGCTACTTAGCATTTTTTGTTTTGCCAATTTTCTAAAATTGGATAGATATTTGAGTTAAAGGCCTTAAAATTGCTTCTGATTACTGACTCTGCACAAAGCCTTTGCAACTTTTGGTCAAAAAGAACAAATGCAGTGGTTCAGGATCCACTGATGTGCTGTGTCCACGTGTCCTTTTGTCTAAACCACAACTGCATCGTTAATGTTTGTCCCTCTGTTCTTTGTTTACAGCTGAAGAAGCAGATAAACGGCCAAGCACGAACGTCTAAGGATGTTGAACCAATCAGATTACGACTTTAATGACACAGACTATGAACTCATTGGACCTTGTAGTTTCAGCAACAACCAAAGTGTGGAGAAGGTGGTCGGCCCGTACGTCCACTCCATCATCTGCATCCTGGGCTTCATGGGGAACATTCTGGTGATCATCACCTATGCCTTCTACAAGAGGACCAAGTCCATGACTGATGTCTACTTGCTCAACGTGGCCATCGCAGACCTGTTGTTCGTGGCAGCGCTGCCTCTCATCGTCTACAATGAGCTGTCGTCCTGGTCGATGGGGCCAGTGGCCTGCAAGCTGCTGCGCGGCTCCTATAGCGTGAACCTATACAGTGGCATGCTGCTGCTGGCCTGCATCAGCACCGATCGCTACATCGCCATCGTGCAGGCCCGCCGCAGCTTCAGACTGCGCTCGCTGCCCTACAGCCGCTTCATCTGTGCCGTCGTCTGGGCCTGCGCCATCCTGCTGTCCATCCCCACCTTCTACTTCTACAACTGGTATGAACCGTCCCACAACAAGGATGTATACATGATCCCAGAACACGGGGACAATCTGAACGAGAACGATTACTTCTCCATGGACTTCAGAGAGGGGACCGGTCTGACGTACAACATGACCAATGAGGAGGAGGAGGAGTCCTCCACGACGCCCCAGTACGTCTGTGAGTTCAGGTTTGCAGATGACAACATGGCCTGGAGGACCAAGGTGGCCATCCCCAGCACCCAGCTGGCCATCGGCTTCTTCCTGCCACTGTTTGTCATGGTCTTCTGCTACACTGCCATCATCATCACGCTGCTGAGGGCCAGGAACTTCCAGCGGCACAAGGCAGTGCGGGTGGTGCTGGCTGTTGTGGTGGTGTTCATCATCTGCCACCTGCCCTACAACATCACACTGTTATACGACACCATCACCATGTTCCAGCAGAGCATATGTGAAGCCTCAGACACCCTGCAGACAGCCAAGACGGTGACGCAGACCATCGCCTACCTGCACTGCTGCCTGAACCCCGTGCTGTACGCCTTTGTCGGGGTCAAGTTCAGGAACCACTTCAGGAGGATCTTCCAGGACCTGTGGTGTCTGGGGAAGAGGTACATCGCCCCGCGCCGCTTCTCCAGGGTCACCTCCGAGATCTACGTGTCCAGTCGCCGCTCAGTGGACGGATCCAATGAAAACGGTTCGTCTTTCACCATGTGAGAATGTCCGCAAGTTTGACCCGTGGACCAGAAACCCTGAATCCAGATATCACTGAAGCTCAAGGTCCAAACTCGACTCTAGTCTGTAAATGATTTTGTAATAATGTGTCACTTCAAGCCGGGACAGGATCAGAAGACAGAATAAATTGGAGGGTTCCAGGGGTCGGGTCATCTGTGTGGATGTCCCGCACAACATGCATCTACAGTTTTCAAGGTGAACTGCTGTGTAAACATCTGTTCTCCTCCTCCTCCCTGATGAAGATCTTCTGAGGTCGAACCTGGTCAATGCCTGATCATATAAAGGCTTTTAAACAGAGAAGGTGTTCTTTGTCTTTGCTTATCTTCAGGAGCCCCTCAAGGCCATCTGGATTTACCAGGAGCATCCCACTGAGAACGTGAGGCCTCTCCGTCTGATGCTTCAGTCTCTTGGATAATTCTCACTCATTGCTCTGGACAGAGGCCGTGGCCTGTTCATGCAGGTTGTCAGAAAAGGATTCAGTGTCTTCAGTTTGAGTAACATTTAGACAGAACAGGAAAAACCCAAATATTTAAATCAATTTAGGGGCTTCATGTTTGGCTTTTGGTGACGTTTCCTGTTGGACCTCGGATGATTTACCTCTGCAGATTTTGTCTCTTTAAAGTCAGTTTGCTGTCTGAAGAGTTTCAGGATTAAAACCTGGAACTTTGCTGAGCGTTTAATTTATTTTCAAACGTCTGTTGAAACCAGAAGAGTGTGAACAGATGAGGGCTTCATAGTTTACCTGTTGACCTGTGTGAAACATTGACTGAACAAACGGTTCAGATTTTATTCTCTTAATGGTCTTTTTGACATCCCTGTGAGCGGCCTCTGCTTTTCCTGTTCATGTACCTGTGATGTTTTTGTTGATCATTGTGAATGTAGCAGCCTATGACTGTACAGTTCCCATCATCCATGCTGAACCTGTTGCGTCTTCATGGCTCTGAGATGTTAGAATAAATGTTGGTGTTTAAGTCAGAGTTGTTTTTTGTTTAGAAGCAACAGAGTTAAACTGTTCTATCACTGTAATTTGGTGGCTGAACACCAGAGGACACCATACACAAAGATGTTGATGTAGTGGAGAGGTCTTACTCCTCAGCTCTGTCAGGAACCAGGAAACCTGGGACAGAAGTCAAAGCACAGCAGCTGACAACTAATGACCCGACTGTTAGAGCAAGTCAGTCCGTCAACCACAGCATTTAAACAGCATTGCAAGAGCTGTATGTGCACAGCATAATCGTCTTCCCTTCTAAAATAATGAACCAAATGTAATAACTAAGAATGAAGCACATATATATTTAACATGTTTAACAAACCACCGTCCTCCCTGAGCAGCGCAGATCTGAATTTATGTGACAAGAAAATGTACACAATTTGATTTGACTACTAAGATGATTGTATAAAAATGATAAAAAGTTGTTTTAACAAGAAATAGAATAAATATGTGTCTTGTTGTAAGAAACAACAGTACTGGGCCTTTCGCTGCAGTACAAGTCAAACCAGGCAGCTGATGGTGCAGCACTGTGACATTAGCACAAACACATTAACAAACCAGTCACATCTAGAGCCCGGCCTGCAGGGCCTGCCCCCCCGCCCCCTTAACTGTTGGCTGCAGATCGGCCTGTTATGAACCAGTCTCTGTTCACAGTGCCACTTTCAGGTCATGCAGTTGACCACATTAGAAAACACTGCAGCTCCTCTGCTGCAGTCTGGACGCCGAGGACTTGACCGGCACACAAACCACTGAACAGCTCTGGCTACGAGCACACAGAGCTTCACTGTGTCCAGAGGCCGCTGAACCCGCCAGTGACCACAGTTTCCTTCATCACACACTCTGGAGTTTGTTCTCACTCGGTCGCACACACACCGTCCTTCTGAAACTTAGTGTCCAACAGATGAACTGTTTCCTCCAGTTAAAAAGTACAGAGCAGCTGTTTTAGTCAGTTACTGAAAGATTGTTACAAATGAAAACATATATGTATGAGGTTTTCATCATCAGCTTTAAAAACAAACTTTGTGAGACACTGGAGACGTCAAAGTGCAGAGATGGACTAACACTGGGCGAAAAATGTAGAATATAGTTTGAAGTTGCAACAAATGTTATTTTTCTTCACGTCTGTGTCTCTTGGTGTGAGTAGACGTCTCTTCTCAGCATCCTGTTTCCTGCATGTCAAATCAAATCAGACCACAGAATCACATTATGCCCTGAAAATCAGTTAGAGTGAGTTCTGAAGAGGAAGTGGAGTTAACCAGCAGGATGAGGGTTGGGACCTCGGACAGTGATGGTCCCACAGACGGGCTGAGCGTCAGTGCTTCATACGGACATGGTGAGTAACAGAAACCAGGTCCCTGCTCTCGTTCTCCACAGGAGCCTTTAGCTGCAGGCGGTGATGATGATGAAGCTGACTCAGGCTGTTTCTGAGTCTGGGGGTGCAGGCTGCTGAGTCAGCAGTGTGACACCGAGCGCTGCAGTTCCTCCCAGTCTCTCACTGGCTCCAGGAAGCAGCTGCATTCTGCCTCAGTGCGTTCATACAGGCCAGGAAACATAGTCACATACATTAGATGCCATCTTACTACCGCCTACAGCCATTGACCAATTTATTAGGTACATCCCTGCCATCACATTAGTGTTGTACCAGACCACTGGATGTTCACCACTCTTCCTAATATTTTGACCCCCTCGTGTGTGAATGGGGAGGATAAAACATAGACAGCTCTAATGGGAAATACTGCAGTTTTTGTAGAAGTATGGCTTCATATGGAAATATTCCACGTTTTTCAAGTAAAATCACAACTTTATCTTAAAACTTTTTAAAATCAATTCCAATTTTTTCTCTTGTAAAACTGTAACTTAATTATATCATTAAAACTTTATTTGTCCCATATTACTTTTCCTCCATGTTGCCACTGTTCGTTTTCCCTCCGGATGTTGTTCTAATAAGCCCAGTGTGACTTTACGTAAGACACGTGTTCGTGCGTCAGTAACAATGATCAGTGATGTGAAGACACTCTGCTGCCAATCAATACTTTTATTTCTGATACTTGAAACAGACTTTAAACTTTATTTACAAAACGTGAATGTCCTGTTCTAACAGTCAGATGCACCGTGCGCGGCTGCTCCAGGCGCGCGCCGCCTTGTTTCCACTGCCAGTTTGATTATCACCAGTGTTTTTGCTCCAGTTCGGTGGCTAAAGGACGTTCTCTTGTCCGAACTGTGCAAAGTACAAACACATGCTAGGAACCAGACAAGGAAGTGACGTCAGCGTTGGTTTGTATGCTGAGCTGAGTTCTGGTAACATAAACCACCATATTCATCATCATCATCATCATCATCAAATTCAGTCCCTCTGTGGTTGTTACTGCTCATTTCATCTGATGAGATTCGTGTCTGTTTAACTGGTTGTGTCATGTGGACCCAAAAATACCCGAACCTGGTCAGGAGACCATGACGTCACACTGGAGAGGATGCTCTCATGTGCAGGTAACATGAATTTGTTTTACCTGTGTGATTTCGAAGCAGGTGGGCGGGGTTTAGGTTTACACATCTTTTAAGTTCAGGTTCATGTTCAGTAGAGGCATCTGTCTAATCTGTAGGCGAACATCTGGTTTTCATGCAGCAACAAGTGTAAACATTTCCGCGACTTTGGGTAAAACCAGAGCTTCACGGGTTAAAATAAAAAAGGCACAGACTCCAAATGAGGAAGAGGAGGCAGGTTCACCTGGTCGTTTAGCACATTTTAGTCTCAGTCCTGGACCAAAGGAGGGTTTGTCCCAGGAAAAATCATTTGTCCAGGTTCAGGCACAGGATGAAAGGCATCAGGGCTCCTCTGGCCTCTGCGGGGGAGCGCAGCACCTCCGGGAGGAAGCCCTCACGCTCCTCCCGCACCTCGAATTGCAGCATCTGGCTCCGGTTAACGCAGTAGATCAGGTCCCCGAGCATCGCGCAGCGGAACGGCAGCGGGTTGTCCAGCGGGAAGGACGCGCCACCGTGCCACACCTTCACCACCGTGTTGTACTTGTACACGGTCACTCCCGCGCGCTCCCGGTCCACGTCGAAGCGGTACACAAGGCTGCGGTGCGCCACCATGTCCGTGGACCGCCCCCGGCTCTCGTTGAACGGACACTCCTCCCACTCGTCCCGCCGGGGGTCGTACCGCAGCAGGCGGGAGAAGAGCGAAACGCC